TTACTGAAAAGAATGCATGGAAATATTGTTATGAGATTAGAGCAGTATAAATGTCAAAATATAGGGACTGGTGAACAAATTGTGCACACCCAAGGATAAGAAGGACAGAGTCCTGAACCCTTACACAGAGGTGTGCCAAATGAAAGTCACTTTTCAATCCATGATGGCCTAGTCCTGTCACTCCCTCAACAAGACTGTGTACTTTCATTTATTTTTAATTCATTTTAAAACTCTAGTATAACTTTTTTTATTGAAGTATCATTGATATACAATATCATATTGGTTTCAAATGTACCACACAGTAGTTCAACAGTTACCCATATTATTAAATCCTCACTCCCTCTAGTGTGGTCACTATCTGTCAACATAGGAAGATGTTACAGAATCATTGACTATATTCTCCATGCTGTACCACTATCCCTGTGACTTACCCATATTATGCTTGGGAATTTTTGTGCCGCTTTATCCCCCTCCCCACCCAACCACCCCCAGCTTCTCCCCCATGGTAACCATTAGTCACTTCTCAGTGTCTGTGTGTCTATTGCTGTTTTGTTCATTCTATTTTCCTTTCTTTTTATATTCCACAAATAGGTGAAATCATATGGTATTTGTCTTTCTCCACCTGGCTTATCTCACTGAGCATAATACCCTCTAGCTACACCCATGTTGTTGCAAATGGCGGATTTCTTTTCATGGCTGAATGATACTCCATTGTGTATATGTACCATCTCTTCTTTATCCATTCGTCTATTGATTGCTTCCATATCTTGGCTATTATAAATAATGTGGAGATAAACAGAGGGGTGTATATATTTTTTCAAATCAGAGATTTTGTTTTCTTTGGGTAAATTCTTAGAAGTGGAATTACTGGGTCAAATGGTATTTCTATTTTTAGTTTTTTGAGGAGCCTCTATACTGCTTTCCACACCAACAGTGTAGGAGGGTTCCCATTTCTTCACATCCTTGCCAACACTTGTTATTTCTTGTTTTTTGGATAGTGGCCATTCTACCTGGTGTGAGGTGATATTTCATTGTGGTTTTGATTTGCATTTCCCTGATGGTTGGAGCATCTTCTCATGCGCCTGTTGGCCATTTGTATTCCTTCTTTGAAGAAAGTCTGTACAAGTCCTCTGCCCATTTTGTCATTGGGTTATTTGTGGGTATTGTGGTATTGAGTCATGAGTTCTTTATATATTTTGGATTCATAAATTGTTTATGAATATATTCTTCCATAAAGTAGGTTGTCTTTTTGTTTCTGCTGATGGTGTCCTTTGCTGTCATAAGCTTTTTAGTTTGATGTAGTCCCACTTGTTCATTTTTAATCTAGTTTTCCTTGCCCAAGATGTATCCAGGAAAAAATTGTTCATACTTACGTTCAAGAGATTTTTGCCTGTTTTCTTCTAAGAGTTTTATGGTCTCATGTCTTACATTCAGGTCTCTGATCCATTTCGAGTTTACTTTTGTGCATGGAATTAGACAATAATCCAGTTTCATTCTTTTGCATGTATCTGTCCAGTTTTTTCAACACTTTATTGAAGAGACTTTCTCCATTGCATATTCATGGCTCCTTTATCATCTATTAATTGACTATATATGCATGAGTTTATATCTGGGTTCTCTATTCTCCATTTATCTATGGGTCTGCTTTGGTGCCAGTATCATACTGTTTTGATTACTGTTGCTTGTTAGTATAGCTTGAAGCCAGGGATCATAATCCCCCCAGCTTTGTTTTTCTTCCTCAGGATTGCTTTGTCTATTTGGGGTCTTTTGTAGTTCCATATGAATTTTAGAACTATTTGTTCTAGTTCATTGAAAAATGCTGTTGGTATTTTGATAGGGATTGCATTAAATCTGAATTGCTCTTGGCAGCATGGCCATTTTGACAATATTCTTCCTATCCATGAGCATGGGATAGCTTTCTATTTATTGGTGTCTTCTTTAATTTCTCTCATGAGTGTCTTATAGTTTTCAGAGTACAGGCCTTTCACCCCATTGTTTAGGTTTATTCTAGGTATTTTATTCTTTTTGATGGAATTGTTTTCCTGATTTCCTATTCCTGCTTGCTTGTTGTTAGTATATGAGAACAGAACAGATTACTGTGTATTAATCTTGTATCCCACAACTTTGCTGAATCCAGTCATTAGTTCCGATAGTTTACTGGTGTAGTCTTTAGGGTCGTCTATGTAAAATATCATGTGATCTGCAAATAGTGAGTTTAATTTCTTCCTTACCAATTTGGACGCCTTTTATCTCTTGTGTTGTCTGACAGCTGTGTCTAGGACCTCCAGTACTATGTTGAGTAGAAGTGGTGAGAATGGACATCCTTGTCTTGTTCCTATTTTTAGAGGAAAAGCTTTTTTCCCTGAGTATACTAGCTGTGTCACATAGGGCCTTTATTATGTTGAAGTATATGCCCTCTACACCATTTTTTCTTTAATGAATGAATGTTGAATTTTGTCAAATGCTTTTTCAGCATCTATTGAGATGGCCATGTGGTATTTATACTTTTTGTTAATGTGGTGTATGATATTGATTCATGATTATACCATCCTTGCATCCTTGGAATAAATCCCACTTAGTCATAGTGGATGACCCTTTTGATGTGTTTTTTAATTCGGTTTGCTAATATTTTGAGGATTTTTGCTGTCTTGTGATCTCCAGCAGAGAGTATTTATAACAAAAATAGTAAAGTATGCTTAATTTACATTGTGGAACTTGGTACATTTGACTTTTCCCATGATTTGGAAGTAGTTTCAAAAACATTGCCTGTTGGCTCTATTCTAGTTCTAACTCTTTACTCTTTGAAGTCAATAGGCTTCAAACAGAGATAGTATGGGGTATTTCATAATTTTCTTGAGGGAGAGAACCATTTCAAGCTTCAGCTGACAGAGAAAAGTCTTTATCACCTAGTATTTACCAGTGTAGTATGCACTTTATATACATTGTCCCAGTAATCTTCACAATAGTGGGATGAAGAATATAATCCTCATTTAAGAGATAAGGCTCAAGGAGTAAAAGAACTTTCTCAATATGAGATAGAAGGGAAGATTAAATATAAAATTCCTAGTGCAGTGTCTGGAACATAGCAGGTATCAAATAGATGGTAGTGATTATTATTGCCATAGTAATTGGCAAGCTCAGAATTTAGTCTTCTCTGCTCCATTAAAGCCACACCTTTTTACAACACAATGCTGGGCTTTGTAGAATTGCAGAAAAAAAAAAACCAGTATTAAATCCATTAGTTCACTCAACAAATGAGTGTCTGCTATTTCAGATGTTATGAAATGAGCTTGCAGTGATTCCATGTACCTTTAGGCTAGCTTGGGGTCCCCCAGATTGCTACAGTGCTCCTCCTCCCCTATCAAATTCAATGCATATAATTTATGATTTAATGTCTACCATCTGTGCTGAAGTGAACTCTTCTGAAGAACCATGTCTACAGTGATGACCACTTTATCCCAGTATGTATCATAGTGACCAATATATAAGCTTAAATATTTTAATTGGAAAAAGTTTGCATAAAAACCAGTATAAACATATATGTATCTATATATTTGTGAGCTCTATAAAACCTTTCTCTCTAACACTTCCAAACCTAGGAAAAAACCTGAGACCTCCATTTTATATATATAAAATATAACCCCAGCAAGTTAAAAAAGAGAAGGAAATTTCTCAAATTTTTTTATGGGTAGAGGGGGCACTATCAGTATTTCTTTTAACTTTCCATATTTTCTATGTTGTTTTTCTTACATCTCTAATAGTAGAGAAAACAAAAACCTACTGATGTTTAAAAAAAAACCTGTAGTCTAAACAAAGTGAACATAGAAGTACATAATATAGCATCATTTACAATTACCACATACAAGACCTGCTTCTTTCTGTTCTCCTTACCCCTCCTACAAAATTGAATGGATCACACAAGCAGGACTTAGGGACAGCATGCCTTCTCTCAAATCCTCTGGCAGATTTATGAGGTGGCAATTGGATTGTGCAGGGAGTCTTCAGAAAAAAATCCAAAAGTAGCTGGAGGAGGCAGCCCTCTTCTGGGAAAATAAAAAAACATAACCACCCCAAAGGATCTTGGCTGGATTGTAAAGGGCCCCTAGGGCACAAAGGCACTCAAAAGGTATGCTGTGAAAATGAACTTTTGAAACTAAGGTCATTTTGGAAGCTGAAGTATAAATACTTAGTTTTGGAAATACTGTGTTTAAAATCTCTGAGCCTCAATTTATCATGGATAACATGCAGAAATAGTACTTCCTAAGGTCATTTTGAAAATAATGTGAATAAATGCAGTTGTATAGCACAGACTCAGCAGGCAGTAAATGCCTAGTGACAGCCATTATTTTAGCCTTTACTATTATTTCACTACCTTTGCAGCATTCATTTTACCTTGGGGAACATCTTCTCCAGTGTTTACCAAAAAAAATTCTAAGGAGTCTTACAGATTACATCTATGAAAAAAACATATGTGCATCTATTTAAAAGAAAGATACAATGGCTAAAAAAAAAAATGATAACATTAAACACTGAAATTTGGTCACTGAAAAATTGTTTATTAAATTGTTAATGTTTTGTATAGTTGGTTCAATGTATTTATTTCACTGAAAATTCTGAGTTGCCTCTGAGTAATCCATATGTCTATAATGCGTATAAACTATGTATTTCTTGATAACTAACACAGACTTCACTAACTTCCATTTATTGGTTAAATAAAACATCAACCTTTCAAAGTTAAACCTTCAGGAATTCACAAGTTCCTATTTTTCTGAATTTTTTTTTATTACGATTTTAAGCCTTCTTAAGAGAGGAAGCTGGAAAATCAAAAGCCTTAATCTGCTTTTCACAATGTCTATAAAAAAATCATATTATACACTTTAAATATATAACTGTCAATTTCACCTCAGTAAACGTGAAAAATAAAAAAAGCACACACACAAAAAAGTAAATTTACACTAATGCTGAGAAACAGAGAAATGGAAGATCTTTTAGTCACCACACAGAGCAAAAATACAGAATATATTTATTAATTTTTCTGTACAGAGAATATACTTTGTATTTAGAGAAATAAAAGATTAGTTATCAGGAGTTGCCTTTGGAGAAACATCAATGAATGCCTTATCAACAGTTGGATATTGATACCAGGGACCATCACCTCTGACACGCATTAATTTTCGTACTTCCAGCTCCTTTAACCTGTAACAAATGGAACAGCAATACTGTGATTCCACCATTTCCCATACAAATGTAATGAATTATCTCTATAAAGAACAACCAACTACAGAGTCCTTTGCTTTTATGTAAATTATTATGTCCCTTCACAGATCCATGAGTATTCATATATCTGATACACACCCAAAAGCAAAATTTGATACTTATTTTTTACTTTCTTATCTTACTTATATAGTCAGCAAATACAGTTTTTTTATCACCAAAACATTACTTCACTGGTAATTCTCTCCTCCTGTCCCTGCTCTGCGTCTGGTCAGATCACTTTCACTTTAACAGTGGTAATGAATTTGTCTTCTTGCTTTTTAGATGTTAAGAGAGTCATTTATAGAATGCCTACTATTATGGCACATGCTGTGCCAAGTGGTAGGAATTAAAGAAATAAGCAAGTCTCCTTTTGGAGGCGCTTACATCCCTTGTCTATACTGCCTACCCATCATCATCAGGACAGAATAGCTTTTGAGAGCAGGAATGTTCTTATTCACCACCTTCCAGCATCACACTGAGCCTGGTCAACATCGGACAATCAATAGTTATAAAGAAAAATCAGGATTAAGAAAAAACATTCTCCAACTCTAAAATCTACTTACTTGTCCTCATCCTTCTTCACAAACTGAATAATCTCTATAAGATACTTCTCTTCTTTCATAACTAAACCTTTGCACAAACAGCCACACAATCCTAAAATAGTCCCTCTTCAGCAAACCTTTTACTTTTCATCTTTATAAACTACTATTTTAACTTTTTCACATGACTAGAAATTAATCACAGTTAAACAATTTACTTTATTAACTTTAACCAACTCACAAACTATCTGATATACATAACTGTACATCTAAGAGAGAATATTTATCTTCTTTTGGACTAAATATCATCTTTTATTTTTCCTACTTTTTAGAATGTAATTATCCAAAATGCAAGTAATTAAAATATTAATCAAAGGGGACTGGTTAAATAAATTATAGTTTGCCCACATAATGGACTATTATGAACCTGTTAAAAATAATGAGGAAAAACTATTATATACTGACATGGAAGGAGATGGTAAACTGTTAAACAAGCAAGATATAAAATGAGTATGTATGTGGAGCACCTTCCATTTCATTAAAATATAGAAAGTAATGATTTATGACTATGTGTATAGTCATAAATTGTGCATGTGTGCACATGCACAAAGTATTATAGTCTGGAGGACCAATAATAATAGTTACCTCTGGGAGTCAATTATGAGAGATGGTCCCATTCCATTTTCTTTCTTTTATGCTTCAGTTTGCCAAATATCAGAACATATATTTTTTTAAAATGTAGGTTCTCCCATTCCATGCTCACACTGGCATCTTTCGCTTGGCATAAAAGTCAGGGTTTTGTGTTTGTTATTATTTTATTTTGTTTTGGAACTGTTTAGAATCTATGTATGTCTAAGGAATTCTGGGATGGGTCTTTTAACGGGAACTCAAAGGTCTATGTCTAAAGTTCAAAGAAGTCCAGTGTTACTAAGTATTGGCTCATACTTAGTAACACTGGACTTCTTTGAACTTCAGACATGGCTCATACTGCTGTTCCTGTCTTAAATAAACGACAGCTCCATATATCTAGAAAACAAGCCAATCGGATGTTCCCTTAAATATTTAAACACTTTTC